TCACTTTCAATTTTCTAACCTTTTACACCACTCCCAAACTAAATCCACCCCCCAAATTTTGGGGTATTTGTTTCCCCCCATAATTTAACCCCCACCCCTTTTTCCGAACACCCTAGCATTTACTTTTTTTACAACCCCATCTATAAATATATTAAACCACCATGGTGACATTACATATCCCTGTCTAAGACCTACTTTTACCGGGAAGTAGTCTCCCTCTCTTCTACACACCCTAACCTGAGCCTCACTATCCTCATAAAAACTCTTTACAGCATTTAGTAACTTACCACCTATTCCATATACAGTGGACCCCCGGCTTACGATATTATTTCATTCCAGAAGTATGTTCAGGTGCCATTACTGAACGAATTTGTTCCCATAAGGAATATTGTGAATTAGATTAGTCCATTTCAGACCCCCCAAACATACATGTACAAACACACTTACATAAATACACTTACATAATTGGTCACATTGGGAGCTGATAGCAAACCGGGGTCCACTGTACTTGCAACATCTGCCACATTGCTCCCTATCCACTCTATCATATGCCTTTTCTAAATCCATAAATGCAATAAAAACTTCCCTACCTTTATCTAAATACTGTTCACATATATGCTTCAATGTAAACACTTGATCTACACATCCCCTACCCTCTCTGAAACCTCCTTGCTCATCCGCAATCCTACATCCTGTCTTACCTCTAATTCTTTCAATAATAACCCTACCGTACACTTTTCCTGGTATACTCAGTAAACTTATTCCCCTATAATTTTTACAATCTCTTTTGTCCCCCTTCCCTTTATATAAAGGGACTATACATGCTCTCCTCTAATCCCTAGGTACCTTCCCCTCTTTCATACATTTATTAAACAAAAGTACCAACCACTCCAACACTATATCCCCACCTGCTTTTAACATTTCTGTCATGATCCCATGAGTTCCAGCTGCTTTACCCCCTTTCATTCTACATAATGCCTCACGTACCTCTCCCACACTTACATTCTGCTCTTCTTCACTCCTAAAAGATGGTATCCCTCCCTGGCCAGTGAATGAAATTACCGCCTCCCTTTCTTCCTCAACATTTAAAAGTTCCTCAAAATATTCTCGCCATCTACCTAATACCTCCCTCTCCCCATCTACTAACTCCCCTACTCTGTTTTTAACTGACAAATCCATACGTTCCCTAGGCTTTCTTAACTTGTTTAACTCACTCCAAAATTTTTTCTTATTTTCATTAAAATTTCTTGACAGTGCCTCTCTCACTCTATCATCTGCTCTCCTTTTGCACTCTCTCACCACTCTCTTCACCTTTCTTTTACTCTCCATATACTCTGCTCTTCTTATAACACTTCTGCTTTGTAAAAACCTCTCATAAGCTAACTTTTTCTCTTTTATCACACCCTTTACTTCATCATTCTACCAATCACTCCTCTTTCCTCCTGCCCCCACCTTCCTATAACAACAAACTTCTGCCCCACATTCTAATACTGCATTTTTAAAACTCATCCAACCCTCTTCAACCCCCCCACTACTCATCTTTGCACTAGCCCACCTTTCTGCCAATGGCCTGGTGGTTAAAGCTCTGGCTTCACACGGTGAGGGCCTGGGTTCGATTCCCAGCCAGAGTAGAAACATTGGACTTGTTTCTTTCCACCTGTTGTCTATGTTCCCCATCAGTAAAATGGGTACCTGGGTGTTAGTCGACTGGTGTGGGTCGCATCCTGGGACACTGACCTAAGGAGGCCTGGTCACAGACCGGGCCGCGGGGGCGTTGACCCCCGGAACTCTCTCCAGGTAACCCTCTCCAGGTAACCCGAACTTCCTCCTCCCTTAGTTCATACACTTTCACTTCCCTCCTACTTGTTGTTGCCACCTTCCTCTTGTCTCATCTACCTCTTGCTCTAACTGTAGCTACAACTAAATAATGATCGAATATATCAGTTTCCCCTCTATAAACATGTACATCCTGGAGCCTACCCATTAACCTTTTATCCACCAATACATAATCTAACAAATTACTTTCATTACATGCTACATCATACCTTGTATATTTATTTATCCTCTTTTTCATAAAATATGTATTACATATTACCAAATCTCTTTCTACACATAGCTCAATTAAAGGCTCCCCATTTACATTTACCCCTGGCACCCCACATTTACCTACTACTCCCTCCACAACATTTTTACCCACTTTAGCATTGAAATCCCCAACCACAAGTACTCTCACACTTAGTTCAAAACTCCCCACGCATTCACTCAACATTTCCCATAATCTCTCTTTCTCCTGTACACTTCTCTCTTCTCCAGGTGCATATACGCTTACTATAACCCACTTTTCACATCCAACCTTTATTTTACTCCACATAATCCTTGAATTAATACATTTATAGTCCCTCTTTTCCTGCAATATCTTATCCTTCAACATTATTGCTACTCTTTCTTTAGCTCTAACTCTATTTGAAAACCCTGACCTAATCCCATTTATTCCTCTCCACTGAAACTCTCCCACCCCCTTCAGCTTTGTTTTACTTAAAGCCAGGACATCCAGCTTCTTCTCATTCATAACATCCACAATCATCTCTTTCTTATCATTTGCACAACATCCACGCACATTCAGACTTCCCACTTTGACAATTTTCTTCTTATTATTCTTTTTAGTAATCTTTACAGGAAAAGGGGTTACTAGCCCATTGTTCCCAGCATTTTAGTTGACTTTTACAACACGCATGGCTTACGGAGGAAAGATTCTTATTCCACTTTCCCATGGATATAAAAGGAAAAGTAATAAGACCAAGAACTATTAAGATAAAATCAAAATAAACTCAGATGAGTGTGTATAAATAAACGTGTACATGTATGTGTAGTGTGACCTAAGTGTAAGCAGAAGTAGCAAGACATACCTGTAATCTTGCATATTTATGAGACAGACAAAAGACACCAGCAATCCTACCATCATGTAAAACAATTACAGGCTTTCGTTTTACACTCACTTGGCAGGACAGTAGTACCTCCGTGGGTGGTTGCTGTCTACCAACCTACTACCTACCTATGCCCTGTTCCCCAACAGCACCAAGTTGGCTTGTTTTCAATCACCACACTGTGGCACCATAATACTTAATAATGTTTCAGTAAGTGCTTCAGGAACCAGTACGTACATATCTTCAGCTGGTAACCATGATTTTAATTAATACAATCTCTACTGTGTCCAAAATATGGTCTTTGCATGCTAGAACCCACAAATATTTTTTAAATTCATTGTATAGTACAGTGGAACTTCTGGTCACAAATGCCTCTGAACACAAACAAATTGGTTCATGACCAAAAAAATTGCAAAATTTTTGTATCTGGTCACGAATACATAATCGGGTGTCAAACAAACACAGCTGAACCAATTTTCAGATTCCACACCCTTTTCCTTGCACGTCCTAATTTTCCCCACTTCTTGTTGTTTGTATACACCTAACAAAGACCTTCGCCTCATAGTCTGCCTTGGTCAAACATGCGTTCATTCGCTATGAACTTCTTGTGTTGTATTTCGTGTGTTCTTGAATTCATTTTGTTTTCTTGGTTGTTTATGGTATGTTTTTTCTCTGTTATTTAAGTTTTTTCTCTATTAAACTGTGCATTATTTTGTATAATTAAGAATTTTTCAAACAATGATTATTTGTTCTGTGCTTAAAATTCTTAAAAAGAAAAAAAAAAAAACTGTTTACAGCAAACGGTTTGTAGGGGTCTAGAACGAACTCGTGCAATGTCAGTTTTCTCTGCTGTTCAAGGTTTTCTGTGTTATTCAAGGTTTTTACACTGAGTTTACTATTACATTGTGCATTCTATAGTATAATTAACTATTTTTGTGCTTAAAAATGTTAAAAAAAAAATATTTACATATAGTTTGTAGGGGTCTGGAACGGATTAATTGTATTTACGTATAATTTCCATGGGGAAGTGGAACAGAATTCTTCCTCCGTAAGCCATGCGTGTTGTAAGAGGCGACTAAAATGCCGGGAGCAAGGGGATAGTAACCCCTTCTCCCATATAAATTACTAAATTTAAGAGAAACTTTCGTTTTTCTTTTTGGGCCACCCTGCCTTGGTGGGATATGGCCGGTGTGTTGAAAGAAAGAATAATCCAATGGGGAAATTTGGTTCGGGTCACAACCAGAGTTTTAGAATGAATTATGGTCATGACCAGAGGTTCCACTGTATAAAGGTCTATGGTGTTGCTAATATGCTTTATACACATAGCAAGCATAATCATGGTCAGGACGTTACCAGATATAAAGTGTTCTAACGTTTTGTGAATATTTTGTTTTACATGTAGAAAAAACTGGTATAAACATATAATAGTGAAAGACATATGAGTGGCTGACCCAATAAGAGATAAAACATTACAGTATTATCCTTTAGAAGCAGAATATATTTAATTCTCCCATTCTAAAGAGAATTACCTTAACTGCATATTTACTTTCAAATTTACCCTTCTTAAATAAGAAAAAGATATAGAGAATATTTAAAGAGTATGTGATATAAAGTACTGAGAGAAAATGTCATACCAATTTAATAATTGATAATCAGGAGGAATAATACTTCCCAGGAACTTGATACAATTTTAGCTACTGTAAATTAGAGAAGTGATCACCTCAGTTTTAGCAATGTTTGTACAGAAGCTTTACATGAGCAAGTTTGAATCCTACCATGAGCGTGTAGTGATACTGACTCAAACTTAGCTATTTAAATCTGAATCTGTGTTTGAAAATAAAGAACAAATTATATTTTAGTCATTATGAATTTCCCTTATGTAATTCATAAATTCAAAGAAGCAAAAGGAAAAGCTTGATAAAATTTAGTGTATATGAAATATAACCTCTAGGATTTTCAAGGTAAACAATGAATGCGATTTTTTCACCCCTTTCTGGAAGACTGCTAAGACTATAAAGTACTGTACTGTTAATTTCACTGCTTAGGTTAAAAACTAATAAGATGTGTACTACTTACAAGGGTGTTGTATAGAAAAAGTGTAAGTCATGTTTTAATGAATTATTGGGTTGCTGGAATTCTTCTATAACAGTAATGTCCATGAGTGTAGTGTTTGTTGTAACACCAACTAGGTGGTCACCGAGGGTAACAGATTGTGTGGCTACTGCACCATTCCTTCCTGATCCAGTCATCCCTTCCATCCCTGGTACAATGGTAGATCGGCACACCCGAGATATAACCTGTAAAAATGCTTTCTACAGAACACATTTTATAAATCGACATTCACTTCATTAGTGCTGTATACATTTAGCAAAATTGCACAGTAGGACACCACAAATCTGAACTGCAAAACTCGAAGAATGATTTTCCAGACCTTCTGAATTGGGAAAAAATCATGAAAATCTTAATTCATTTTTTTTATTTCTTAAAAATGTGCAAAGAAGTTATAGCAGTTATACATTCTAATTGATCCTAAATAATATTTTTAATCTGTCAAATTTTCTGGCCTGAAATCTAAAAACTAAAGTTAAATTTTCTAAACTTACCCTAGGATAACCCAAAAAAGCCACCTAGTATTATTCCACTGGGATATCCCCTACGATATAACCTACATCTGGCTAACACATTAGTACCTATTTACTGCTAGGTGAGCATGAGCAGCCAGTTTAAGATGACTTGCCATGTATTTCAATCCACCCAAGAAATGAACCTGGGTCCTCTTGCTTGTGAGCTAAGTACTCTACCACAAAACTTTGCAAAAGATTTTAAAAACAATGGAATGTACTGCTTTGCCTATACAAAATACACATGGATACTGTGAATACAGTACAACACTGTACTTTACATAATACTATAAATATTGAATAGGTAATAAAGAAAATTACTGCACTATCAGGATGTCTATACTCACAGTAGGGACTTCACCTTCCATGTTGTAAGAAACATTGTTAGCACAGGTGACACTGGTGTTCCCACAAAGTGAGATGTTAAACATGTGGAAGAACTTGGTGCCTGATGATGTAAAGAGTGTGCTACCCATCATGGCTCGTGCACTAAGAAAGGTGAAAATATAAGGGTAGATGGAAGAAAAATTATATGGATAATCTTGGATTTTTTTATGCTTTGTTTTTATTTTAATAATAAAATACATGCACTCTTTCAGCAAAAGAGGCCTCAGTATCAAATGTATCACACAACAGTATGAAAGCCTTTCTATAAACTCTTTTACACAACTACTGTACTGATAAATATTGTTTCAAGCAATAATATATCAAATCAAACAGTAACCATTCTTAAAGTCATTATTGGTACGTATCTTGGAAATGGTTACTATAATGTTTTATTATTGAATATAGCAGTAAATTTCAAACACTCTTCAGGGATGTCAGTAAAATCAGGTTATTATAATCTACTTTAATTAATTTGCATAAACTTGGTAAAATAAGCCTACCTCTTTCCTTTTTAAAACAGTCATGAATTGTTTTTAGGTGTATTACCTCAATAATGCAGAAGAAATTTTGTCTATGTTCATATTATGCTCTTTCACAGGTACAGTATATTCTAAATGATCTATTAGTAAGAAAGCAAATAAGCTAAAGAACATACTTGCTAATGTTTGTCAAGTCATAAGTTCTATTATCCACAGTTAGACGGCACTCAACGATACATGTGAGATGGTCTGGAGCAGTTAGTCCAGGGCCACAGGGAAGGCAGGACTGGCGACCATAAGGTAATGGGTCTGTCACTACAGTGTTGGAGGGGCATCGGGTGCATTCAGTTGTGTTATTCTCTATGTAGTGGCCTGCTGGGCAAGGAATACACCCTGCTGCTGCTGGAGCCTGAATGACATAAATATTCAACTCTCAGTGTTAAAAGAATTTTTATCAATCGACTGTTTCTAATAATTAATATTCTATGATTTATATGAAATACTCTACTACTGATAAGAGAGAATACAGTATATACTACATTTCAAATAAACCTTCTATGTTATAAAATCTGTTCAAACTCAGATCTAGATAAATAACCATAGTAAGTGTTTAATAAGAAAAGCTATTTTATACACACACAAATTTATTCATATAAGGATGCCTTGGTGAGAGACAGTCGAAGTGTTGAAAAAAAAATGTAATCTAAAGTACCAAATAGCTTACCTGTGGACATGGAAGACATGAAGAAGCACCACCATCAATGGTGTTTGTCACGTTAATATTATACACTTTTGCCATATCTGTTTCGAACATACGTAATGACCCAGATTTTAAGTAGCTCTTTTCCCATGATACCTGAGAAGCCATAAATGTAAAGGAAACTATATTTAATACATGTAGATTAAACTCCTATCTATAAACAGTACAGATTACATAACTGATGCAGTACAGCAAACTCTTGATAAAATACTTAAAATTATCGTATAGGCAAAATCCACTGGTTAAATTGTACTTTTAGTGCCTTTATTTTCAATATTTATTGCAGTATATCTGTAAACTGTGTGTACAGTACAATTTTACATACCATATACAGCAGAGTACTTTAGTGCACTTTTTACTATTTTTTAATAGCATTCTGATATAACATTCACTCCCTATTAGTCCATTATATTGAGGGTTTTACTGCTGTCTTTATTAAGAAAACAAAGCAAATGTCTGGCCAGTACACTAATACATAATAATAATCCACTTAACAAAATAATACAAATTAAAATAATTAACTTCTCACCTTCTGAAATGACCAAGAGAAAGTGTACGAGTCATTGCGTGTTACTAGGTAAGTATAATATTGACGAGGTTGAGCTCCTGTCCACCGCTGTAGTACTGTCACACCTTTTTTGGCAGAGGCCTAGAGAAAGATATACAATTCAAATTGGGGTACATTTAGCCTTATTGAGTAAGAGAGAAAATTCTTTACAACTGTAATAGTTACATGTTATTTAACTTATCCACATATGACAAGAAATTCCTTTGATCTTTAATTGTTCATTCTGTACAAAAGTTAATCTACAGTAACATTCTTTACCTAATAAATACACTTTATTAAAATTATACATTTAAGTTTGTACTAAAAGGATGTATTTGGTGTAATAAAATAAATAGTAGTACAGTAGACCCCCGCATAACGCTATTAATCCGTTACTGAGAGCTCATTGTTATGCAAAATTATCGTTATGCGAATGAATTTTCCTCATAAGAAATAATGGAAATCAAATTAATCCGTGCAAGACACCCAAAAGTATGAAAAAAAAAATTTTACCACATGAAATATACATTTTCCTACACACAAAGAGAAGGATACATGCACAATAGTAAAGTAGTACATGCACAATATACATTGTGCATGTACTACTCTACTAAATGAAGAATAAATGACACTTACCTATTGAAGATGCAGCAATGACTGATGAGACACTGTGTCCTGGGAGTGCCTTTTCCTCCTGAGTACTGTAGGTCCTGTTTGGCATTTTCTTCCAGAACAGGCCTTATCACACTGTGTATGCTACTACGATTCTTAAAGCTCTCAAACCAACCTTTGCTGGCTTTAAATTCACCAATATGAGCACTAGTTCCAGGCATTTTTCCCTGTTCACCTGGGTGTTAGTCGACTTGTGTGGGTTGCATCCTGGGAGACAAGATTAAGGACCCCAATGGAAATAAGTTAGACAGTCTTCGATGACACTGACTTTTTTGGGTTATCCTGGGTGGCTAACCCTCTGGGGTTAATTGTTTCTTGGTATTCTCAATAAGCCACACCAACAACGGTGCTACAGCAGCAGCAGCAGCAGCTGATAGTGCTACAGCAGCAGCTGACAGTGCTACAGCAGCAGCAGACGGTGCTACAGCAGCAGCAGACAGTACTACAGCAGCAGCAGCAGCTGACGGTGGTACAGCAGCAGCAGCAGCTGACGGTGCTACAGCAGCAGCTGACAGTGCTACAGCAGCAGCAGACGGTGCTACAGCAGCAGCAGACGGTACTACAGCAGCAGCAGCAGCTGATGGTGGTACAGCAGCAGCAGCAGCTGAGTGCTACAGCAGCAGCTGAGTGCTACAGCAGCAGCTGACAGTGCTACAGCAGCAGCAGCAGCAGCTGACAGTGCAGCAGCAGCAGCTGACAGTGCTACAGCAGCAGCTGACAGTGCTACAGCAGCAGCTGACAGTGCTACAGCAGCAGCAGACAGTACTACAGCAGCAGCAGCAGCTGACAGTGCTACAGCAGCAGCAGCAGCAGCAGCAGTTGACCATGGTACCACAGTATTTCGATAATATTTCTCACCCTTTTTACCACAGGGTTGGCACTAGCTTTCTTGGGGCCCATGGTCACTTATTTTGCAGATAAAATCACCAAAAACGCTGTAATAACACGAAATGTTCCGATTGTATGCTTGGATGTTACCGCGGAGGCTGGCTTGTAAACAATGCCACCGGCGGAACATGTGAGGCTGGCTCAGGCCTCACATAGACGCGTCTCGGACGAATAGCGTTGAGCGAGCTTTTTAGCGCTATGCGAGGCAAAATTTTAGTGATAAAATGTATCGCTATGCGGATTTAATGTTATGTGATGCCAATGGTATGCGGGGGTCCACTGTATTTAATTATGAACACCATAATGGCTTGTACACCATTGGCTTACCTACTGTTTACAGCATCATATACATCGCAGAAATGGTTATAATCATAACCATAAATTTTGAAGGGGTGGACCAGTACGCTGGTGGGGGATCTCAGTCAGATGACCAAAAGCTCCAGCTGTGGGTCATCATATGACTAAGACCTGCATCAGGAAACACTTGACCTGTTTCCTGACAAACCTAATACCTACCAGATACGTTGTTGTGTAAACACCCCTTTCCCAACATCTTAACACTTTCTGTAGGTACTGGAGTTTTCTTACTCTCATTTTCCTCATTATATGGCTTCCAGTAGAACTGGGGTTTCTATATTATTTGCATAATAATTTTTTTCTGAGTGTGACCCACAACAGTTGGCTGTCACACAGCTAACTACTTTTACTGCTACATGGGCAGTGTAAATGGGTGTAAAAGAAAAATGTGTCCATACGTTTCATCAGCCTGGGGTTAAAACATGGAACCTTTTATTGAACCAAATGATCTAGTTAGCCAGAATTAAGTTATGAACTAAAAATACAGAAAAGATAAAAAAAATACTTGCTTTGAAATAGTATAGTATTGGTATACAGTTGGAATGAACACCAAGAGGAAGAATTAAGTGCTACAACTTGGCAGTTAGATGTTTAGAATGAACAGTTATCTGGCAAATTTCATGACAATTAGAATGCATTATCAACTTTCCAAAAATTAATTAGTTAAGATTTGCTTCAACTTCATGCCCAGATGTCACTGCTGACACCTTTCTAAGAAACTAAATTTTTGTGTACCTTACAATGCTGTACGTACTTTGGAAGTGGAGACTAAAGAGATTTCTTAAGTAAATCAAATGTATATACTGTATTGCTTCAATACTATTTTATTATTATTATTTTTTTTATTGACACATCAGCTGTTTCCCACTGAGGCAGGGTGACCCAAGAAAGAAGAAACTCTCTCATCATTATTATTCACTCCATCACTGTCTTGTAAGAAGCTTGCCTACACTACAGTTAAAAAACTGCAACATATCAACACCCCTCCTTCAGAGCATAGGCAGTGTCCTTCCCACTACTGGCTAACTAGTTTCCCTGAATCCCTTCATAAACATTACTTTGCTTACACTCCAACAGCATGTCAAGTCATAAAAAAACTTGCCTCCACTCACTACTATTTAACATGCTCACACACTTGCTGGAAGTCCAAGCCCCTCACACACAAAAACTCCTTTACCCCCTCCCTCCAACCTTTCCTAGGATGACCACTACACACCCTTCCTTCCACAACAGATTTATATGTCCTCTGAGTCATTCTATTTTGTTCCATCCATTCTAAATGTCCAAACCACAACAACAACCCCTCCTCAGCTCTCTTGATAATACTTTTAGAAATCCTGCACCTCCTTCTAATCTCCACGCTACGGATTCTCTGCATAATATTTACACCGCACACTGCCCTTAGACACGACATCTCCACTGCCTCCAGCCTTCTCCTTGTTGCAACATTCAGTATCAATGCTTCATACCCAAATAAGCGAGTCTATACCACTCTACTCTCATACGTTTCTCTCTTTGATTCCATGGATAATGTTCTTTGTCTCCATAGACTCCTCAGTGCATCACTCACCTTTTTCTCCCTCAATTCTATGATTCACCTCATCTTTCACAGACCCATCTGCTGACAAGTCCACTCCCAAATATCTGAATACATTCACTTCCTCCACACTCCCTCCAATCGGATATCCAATCTTTCATTACCTAATTTTTTTTATTATTCTCATCACCTTGCTCTTTAATATGTTCATTTTTAATTTTCTTCTTTTACATATCCTTCCAAACTTGTCCACCAACTTCTGCAACTTCTCTTCAGAATCTCCCAAAAACATAGTGTCATCAGCAAAAAGTAACTGTGACAACTCTCACTCTTACAACCCCCATCTATAAATAAATTGAACAACCATGGTAACAACATGCATCCTTGATATTCCTATATGAACATACAAAAGCAAATATACACAAAAACATCCTCTGAACATATGCCGATTTATAAGACAAAAAAGTCACAAGATCTGATAGTTCAATAATTATATAGAGTTCCTTTGACATAATTTTGCTACACAGTTTGAGAACTTAAAGCTATACAGAAGGATTATATCTATAGTTATGAGGTACATACTTCCATAAAAACAAACTCGCAGTCAGAGGCACAAGAAAGTTCAAAAGTAAAGAATATGCGACCCACTTCCATTGGCTTCCCACTGACAAAGCCTTCACGTCCACGGAATCCTCCAACCTGCAACATAACAATGTGAGAATGAGTATTTAATTTGCTTAATGTAAGTATAAAAAATCTACTGAAAAACTTGTAGATAACAAGAGCATTGATAACTTTCAGAATTTCTTCCCTCCCCCTTAATTTGCTATATTTTCTTAAAACAGGTCCCAAGTTAGTAGATGTCCTATTCCTCAAAGCACACTTCAAACATTTGATAAGTGAGATCTATTCACAAAAAAAGCATGCAACCCATTGCAGTCAGAGCTGAAATTTTAAAGAATGAAATGATATTATCAACATTTAAAGGAAAGAAAATGTTGGATTCTTCATCCATGGATGCTGCTTGGGAGTTGTAGTCTCTGTGTTAGATATCAAATACTGATTCTGGCAGACTGTTGGCTCCTCAATAACACCAATTTTAAACAATGAGAAATAGTAAGAAACAAGACTTGTTGTCCTCACTTTTGATGCTTAGTACTATATGTGAGCTAGCCTCTAGCCTACACACCTCCCAGTTGTATGTAAAGGCAGGAATCTATATACAGAAATTCCATTTGAAGTTTTACTTTAAGTTTTACTTTAAGTCAGTGATAGCTAAGTTTTACTTTAAGGTTTACTTTAAGTTTTACTTTAAGTCAGTGATAGCTAAGGTGCCTCAGGAATTGGCCAGTCCCTGAAGGCAAATCCAGCACTGTTTTAGAGCTACAAAAGTCTAACCTGACTATCAGGTGTCATTATGGTTCATTAGAAACTCTTCCATAATTATTCAAGCACTTACAAAATCCTAAACTAGCATTCAATGTTAATCTAGTGCAGAGTCCTTTAAACCCCATCCCTTCTCCTAGTGATGTAACTGACAAGTGCATTGCCTTTGTCAGATTGTAGCATCATCAGTAAGGTGTTCAGTATTCAAACATTCTCATGGGTTTGGATGCTGAAACAACCAAGTTGGTCATCAATAGCATCGTCATCATTACCAAAGTTGAGGGGCTAGCTAGAAGTACAGTTTTTCCTTAGTTAATAATATATAACTGTATTGCTAAAATGGTCAAAGCAGCTTCAAGGTTTCTTTTTATTTTTTTCTACTAGAGGTGATTAGCTAAAGTGCTAACACTCATGTTTTATGGCCTTATGCCTCACTGAAAGGAGTGAGCAATTAATTCTTAGTTTACCTAGAGACTGCTCAGATCTTTATATTTCCCTAACTGTGATTAACTTTTATTTACCTAGAGAGAGATCATTCTTTATATCTTCCTTATTATTTACATAAGACAGGGTGCCCTGAAAATGCCCCAGAAAATATACTGAGGTTGTATTTGGGTGAGTGCATATGGAAGAAGCATTACAAGATCAGCAGAATGAACTCTAGACCCAGCATCCTCAGGAGTTAATGCAAGAGGAAGTACCATGTAGTGGATCTGTGATCCTGTGTTGTGCATTGTTAGTGTAGTGAAGAACTGTGCTGCACTGTACTAACAAGGGAGTTAGTAACAATGTGACCATTTGAGAGCAGCTGACAATTACAATAAATAATGTAAAACGAAAATTAGGCAAGCATAACTGGAAACAATGAATCTATGTTAATGAGTTTGTCTTTAAGTTTGTCTATTTATGTAAATATATCAGTCATTCACTTATTTAGTATACACACCCAATGCCACATACATAAAATTATCTCCTTTCAACAAACCAGCAGTATCCCACCGAGGCAGAGTGCCCCAAAAAGAACATCAAAATTTTCTCTTCATAAATTCAGTAATGTATACAGAAGGGGTTACTAGCCCCTTGCTCCCGGCATTTTAGTCGCCTCTTACGACACGTATGGCTTACAGAGGAAGAATTCTGATCCACTTCTCCACGGAGATAAGAGGAAATAAACAAGAACAAGAACTAATAAGAAAATAGAAGAAAACCCAGAGGGATGTATATATATGCTGGTACATGCATGTGTAGTATTCAAATTCAAAGTTTATTCTCTATAAAGATTACAATGTTGAATTTACAGAATTTGGTTGTTGTGTGGTTTACATGTAGTTAAATAATGATTACAGAGTGTACCACTAGAACGCCTAGCATGGCTAGGCATTTCGGGCAGACTTAGTTTAATTCTTTATTTTAAAATATTACAAATTATGAGGTAAGTTGGTATTATGGCTAAGTGACTAAATACTAGTTTGTGAGTTTAGCAATGTGAATGCTTTTGTTTTGGCACAGTACATAGTTTCAGTATTGGAGTATCATAGGATTCATTATTTTAAGATTGAGATTAATATTTCTGTTTATGGTCAAATGGGTGAGTGAGTGTAAGTGTGAACCACCAGGTGGTATTCGTGTAGTTAGTTGATGGGGTTTATCAGGGAGATAAGATGTTTTCTAATGGTAGTTTTGAAGGTGATGAATGTGTCTGCAGTTCTAGAGTTCTCAGGTAGGGTGTTCCAGATTTTAGGGCCTTTGACATACATTGAATTTTTGTAAAGGTTTAGTCGGACATGGGGAATGTTGTAGAGATGTTTGTGTCTGGTGTTATGCCTGTGGGTTCTGTCACAACTATCAAGAAAGCATTTTAGGTCAAGGTTGATATTGGAGTTTAAGGTCCTGTAGATGTAGATTGCACAGTAGTAAGTGTGGATGTACTGAAACAGGGAGTAAGTTTAGACTAT